ATATATATATATATATATATCGTGTGTGTGTGTGTGTGTGTGTTATAATGATTTATCCCCACGTTTAGACTCCAAGTTCCCAGAGAGCAGGCTCTTTGTCTGTCTTGCTCATTATTCCATTCTCAACATCTAGCCTGGCAAATAACATTAGTTCAGTAAATATTTGTGGAATGAGAAACTGCCCTCCACTAGTTGTGAATTACTTGAGGACAGAGATTATGCCCAGCACAGAATCAGGGCTCAATGAGTGAATAAATAAAATAGATGATAAACATCTTTATTCTGAGTCCAACACCTAGTATCTTAACCAAGGAAAAAATGCAGTCACCCATGCTTGGTTGTCAATGTCATTTCACCAAAGAGCTGCCTTGCTAACATGGTGAAGTTGGGACTAGTAGAAAAGGCATCAATCAACTTTGACTTCCAGACTGAATGTCTTCACACTGAATCATCCCAAGAATCCTATTAAGTTAATAAATTATCATTTCCATTTGGTGGATGAAGAAATTGAGGCTCAGTGAGATTTAAGATATTTGTTGAAGAACATGTGACAGTTTAATGGTTGGAGTTAAGACTAGAGTCTCTTCACTCCAGGCCATTGTTCTTTCTCTAGCTGCTGTATTGCCTTTTTCTGAGTTTATAAAGTTTTGACCTGTGATTTGTCATCTACCATGCTTGGTTTTGGGAAACTTTTTGAAACAATAGTCCTATCATACTTCATAAGTATTAACTGTCCCAGTCTAGCCTTTTTAGAACCTTTCGAGCTTCTCTAGTCTGGGGGTTCTTAATGATAGCTTACCAAAAAAACAAAACCAGTAGCCCATAGTATCAGAGTAGGCCCATAGGATTTTGAATGGCTGATTTTTCTAAGGTGCTTGTGGGTGGACTCAAACCATCAGCCTTAAGGTTAGCAGCAAGTGTGTTAACCTCTTGCACCACCCAGGAATTCTTGTGATGAGCTTTGTTGTTAGATAACATCTAGTTGATTTTACCTCGTAGCAACCTCATATGACAGAGCAGAACTTCTCCATAGGATCCTCTAGGCAATAATCTTTACAGGAGCAGATGTCCAGGTCTTTCTCCTGCAGAGCTGTTAAGTGGGTTTAAACCACCAACCTTTCAGTTAGTAGCTGAGTGCTTAACAGTGGCACCAACAGGGCTCCTCTAAAGTTATATACCACCTATCATGTCTATGTGCATTTCTCCGGAGAGGAAATCCATAGCTTGCATCAGATTCTTACAAAGGAGTACATGACTCCATAATAAGGTTAAAATCAATAATCCAATCCAACCATGTCATTTTGCATGTGGGGGAACTGAGACCCACAGAAGAGATTTTTCCAGGCCATCATCTTTGACTAGGGTTGTTCTGTTTCTTCATTACCAGAGGACTGATTATGGTGAACAGTAACCTCAGCTACATCATTGAGCCGCTCCCTGACAGTGAGAGCCAACACCTTATTTACAGATCAGAACATCTCAAGTTGCGCCCTGGGAACTGTGGTTTCCAGCACTCCATGCCCACCACCAGAGACTGGGTCCTTCAGTTTACAAACCAGACCAAGAAGCGACCACCCAGGGTGAGTTTCAAGGCTCTCAGTACAGAAGTCAACCTGGTATTACTGTTGTTCCCTCCGTAAACCCTTACCTTGGAGCTTGGAGATTTCTAAAATGAAAGGAGATGGTTACGAAGGAGGAAATAGCTTTTTTATTCTAAATTATTGTTGAGTGTGAGATACATTAGTTGAGAGAATAACTGCTTTTGGGAAAATGCTACCATATTTGAAATATGCTGAAATGCTGAATTCAGAAAGTTTAAAATGTGAGAAAAAGTATATGCTTTCCCTTTCAGAATAGCCACTTAGCCATATGCACAAACAAGGTATATTTATTTATACTGTAAATAGAGGTATGTGGTTTAAATTTTCTTTGGGAACTTCATCATGGGCATTTTCCCTCAACGCTTCTGGTCTACTGATAGTAGCTAGCACAGCTCATTGTTTTTTGAGAAGAACTGGCTTCAGCATCCCAGAGCAGCCTCCAGCAATAATCAATCAAGATGGTGGGTGGAAGATGTAGAGAGGGTGATGGTGACTGCAGCTAGGACTGCTGTTCTTGGCATCCCAAAATGAATAAGGAGGTCTACTGCTGACTAACGAGCTCCATTTCCTAGCAGTTTTTTGAAATGAGGCCAAGTCCGTCATTTCTATAGTTCTGATCTCTTATATCTTTTTCTTAGATGAAAAGGGAAGATTTACACTCCATGAAGTATGTGGAACTTTACCTCGTGGCTGATTATGCAGAGGTAAGGGGAAGGTACTGGGCTTTAGCAGAAAAATTGCTCTCTTGGCAGCTTCCATTTCAGGTTTTGAACTACTTTGGAGAAATGCTGATGCATTCATTTTTCTCCAGTTCATCATAAAATTTTGACCTGAAATCTGATCAAGGGATCTTATTGTCATTTTAAACATAGTTGAGAAAACAAACAAACAAGTATAATCTCTTCTAGCTAATACATCAATCAGATAGAGACTGTTATCTGGATTAATATTTCTTCGACTGGATCTGAAGATGTTTAGGTTTGGGGGCTTATCCTAGGAATTCTTTATAGAAATTTTTAAATTTTGTGTTTCCAGTATAAAGATAATTGAATATGGTTGAATCCAGTTTTATTGCCCATGTGTGGGTCCATGTTTATACTCATGTTATTGCCAAATGAGGACCTAAAGCAATTGTTCCCAAAATGTGGTCCCCAGACCAGCAGCATCAGTATCATCTGGAAACTTGTGAAAAATGCAAATTCTGGGCCCAACCCTAAACCTACTGAAACCTACACTATAAGTAGGACACACAATAATTTGTGTTTCAATAAGCCCTATGGGTGACCTTATGCAAGGTCAAGTTTGAGAACTACTGACCTGAAGGACTAATAGTTTAACTTTTAAGTCAATACTCCTCAGGTTCTTGAGTATTCTTGGGTTCTAAGATTTGATGAATGCTCATCTCATGTTTGTCACTGATTTCTTGGTTTTCTATTATGTGCCAAGCATTGTGTCTGGCACCAGGGATATAGCTCTTGATTTAGACAGACCTGGCCCTGGCATCACAATGTTTACAGTACCAGCACAAGAAACTATAGTCCCAAGTGTGATAACTACTAAGATGGAAAAGTACAGTATATTAGAGTACATGTAATGGGAGATCCAATGTGGTTCTGGGAATCAGAGAAAGCTACTGGGAGGCAGAGATGTTTAAGTTGACTCCTGAAGGAGGGGCTCAGGTCCCAGTCCCTGTGTTTGCCACATATTATCTCCACTTCTCACTGTATGTAGCCACATAGCTAAGCACATCTTCTGTCATGGAGACATCATGGTGAGTTGTGCACTCTTGGTGTTCTAACACTGTGCACACTCTCTTTAGGATACAGTTCATCACAAGGCAGATCTTTCTTAGATCCAAATGATGTAGTTACCAGCCACCCAAAGGTGGCCCTACTAATCTGGAAGAATCCCTAGTGGCACAATGGTTAAGCGCTCAGCTGCTAACCAAAAGGTTGGCTATTGGAACCCACTCAGTGGCTCCATAGGAGAAAAGACCTAGTGATCTGCTTCTGTAAATATGAGAGTCTAGGAAACCCTATGAGACATTTCTGCTCTGCATATTATATTACTATGAGTCAAAAATAGACTCTGCAGCACCTAACAACCACAGCAACAACCTAGTCTGTAATCCCAAGGCTCAGATGCTGGAGACCACACAGGGTAGTGAAAGAGCACTTGCGTTCACATCAGGAGACTTGTCTTCAATGCTATTGGCAGGAGGAGGTGGCTCTTGAGCTCTCCTAACGGGACAAGGAGGAGTTAACTGGGCAGAAAAGTGGAGGTGAAAGGCATTCCAGGCCGAGGGAACACTGTGTTCTGCTTTGAGAAGAGTTTAGCTTTTGAATTGATGTCAGTATTGGTTTTTCCAGCAGCTTGTGCTTCCCCCCCCACACTATTTTTTTGTTTTTCTCCCCAAAGACTGCTTTGTGTATTAAATAGGGGAGTGGTGCAGAGAGCAAAATCCAAAGCTAGTTTGAAAGCAAAAGCTCCGCAGTCGTGGGAGAAGGTCCCTAAGTCTGTATCTCTAGCCTGTAGCCCTGCCTGACGTGACTGCTTGTAAGTGGGAGGGTGGCTGGAAGAAAGCTGAGCCCCTCTGCCTCCAGGACATTTTTCAGTTTCAACTATGCATCTAAGATTATTTAACACAGTGGTCTTTAGCCATTTATTTTCCCAGACACCAAATCCTTTGTTCAAATGAAAGCTCCTGGGAGCCCCAGGATTTCAACACAGAGAAATGCAGCTGCTCTGGTTTAAAGGTGGGGCCTTCCACCCCTCTGGCCCTGCACTCTGCCCCAGCCATCCCAGTGGAATCCTGGTGCAGAGTTTTAAAGCCCACTGAATGTGTGTCCCCTGTAGCTGGAGAAGTGGGGGCAGGGCATAGTATTTGGTATTTTAGCTCTCCTGACCTCCTGGATCTCAGCAAACCCCCAAGAGGAAAAGTGCTCAAAGTGCTTCCAGCACTATTGTGTTTCCCAGAGCTTTGTGGCTCCTCACCTCCTCTTCCTATTGTAGAGATCCTACCTTCAGCATCCATTGCACAGGCATTTCCAGTGTGGGTACCATAAGGTACGTTCATGCAGCCACCATGCATAGAGGGATGTGTTCATTTATCAAGTCCTGGGCATTTGTCTGCCAAAGCTTGTAAATGACTCAAGTGAGGGGGTGGATGGGGGTCATAAGAGACCAAGCTGAGTTCACAGGCTCCCGAATGCTCCCACACAACCTCTCCCACACTCCCTCATCCTCTGCAGGCAGAAATGTATGTCTGACAAGAAATTAATCTGAGAGGATGGGAAGGCAGGGAAATGAGCACTGCTTTATCTGTGATTTACAACCTGGTACTGAGGCAGGGCAGGCTTCTCCTGGGCTCTGACCTCAGAGCTGGAAGTAGACACAGAGACGGGAAGTGAGACACAGTGTTACTGCCTAAACAAAGAGTTGTCAGAGGTTAAAAAAAAAAAAAAAGATCATGCAGCTCCTCACTGCCTGGGCCCAAGTAGGAGCAGTTGGAGTGGTTCTCATCCTATTCGTTCCTCAGGTGAAAGAGGGAAACCAAGGGAGGAAAAAAGAGAAAGAGGGGAAGTTGTAGGAAAGGGCAGGATAGCTATACAAACAAGCATTCAAAAGACTTTCATAATATGCAGAAAATGGGAGGTACTTGGGAAAAGACAGGTGATGTACCACATTTTACTTTCTGAGTCCCCTAGAAAATAGAGAGTACAGATGTTCTTTACTTTAGACTAAGGATTGACAAAGTATGGCTCATACCCAGATCCAGCCTATAACCTGTTTTTGTAAATAAAGTTTTATTAGAACACAGCCATGCCCATTGTTTTGTATATTACCCATGGCAGAGTTGAATGGCTGTAGCAGAAACAATATGGCCTGCAAAATCTAACATATTCATTTTCAGGTTTTTTACAGAAGAAGTTTGTCGACTCTTGCTTTAGACAATTCTGGGCAACACAGTACATTCCTTAAACTATGGTGGGCATTACTGGGTAATTGTTTGAAGGTAAGGTTAATATATTTTGAAGATGTTGAAATCTGACCTTGATGTTCTAATAAATATTTACTAAATAAATGGAAATACTGTAAACATTTCTATGTTATGAGGTCAGTTCAGAAATAGATGACCCTGTAATGAGAAACTTCAGGGTTAATTAATGCCTTGGAAGGATTGACATCACAGGGCTTTACATTGAATTTAACCCTGTAGAAAGCAGCAATGAAAGTGAGCTTCTCTTCAAACGAGGGACAGTGTTCCAAGAAAGCCAGAGAAAGTCCAAAAGCTGAAGGAGAATGGAAAACAGTGGATTTCTTCCCTGTGTCGGGGCTGGGCCACAGCCCACCTAAACAAATATCCTAGAGTTTTATTTGGCTGTCCTTTTTGTTTCTTGCTTGGATAGTCTTATAGCATGGGGTAGAGGAAGGAAGTGAAGGATTTGAATTGAAGTAACTTGTGTAATGTGTAGATAGGTACACAGATTCTGTATAACAATCACAGTCTACAAGACTTGCCATCATTTACAAATTTAAATTGCAGTTGTAACATATATTACCTTTCCACTATGAAGGTTTACTTCATCATTGTAGCCAGATTGACCAATGTGAGGCATTCGTACTGAAATGTCCTTCTCCTGCTACCCAGTTTCAGAATTCTTCTCACTGCAGAAGCACAGACAAGTACTGTCACTTGATTTGAGTGGTGTGCAAGATGAAGCCTATCTACCATCCCTGCAGAGGTCTTTGCCAGCACCCATTGTGTTATTCACATAGCCTCACATTATGGTTATTTCTGAGCATGTTTTCTCAGTAAGATTTCTCAGCCCATTTCAATTGTATACTCTAATTACAGGGATCATCATTGTTATTTCTGGTCCCCTCTCTGTTTTAATGAAAGCTCCTCTGGGCTAGAACTGGGATCTCATATTTCTTTGCATCCTACCTAGCACCAAGTACTATGCCTTGCACAGAGCAGGGGTTCAGCAACTATTTGACCAGTGTTGATTGACCTGGACAATCAGGGAAGTCTTGTGAGATCTATGTGATGGTGACTTCATGTTGAGTGATGACCAAGACAAAGATCATGTGGATCCCTCTTCTAAGCCCTAAAGAGAGTTTATGAGAGTCCTTGTACATTGGAGGACAAGAGAACAAGATTCACTTCATAGACTAGAAAAAAAAAATTCAATTCATTGTACAATTATTGCATGCCTACATGTGTCCAGCACTGGGTTAGGATCTGGGAATATTAAGATGTATGAGACCCAGGCCCTGCCCTTTAGGACCTGACACTGTGGTTAGGGAGGTAGTTGTATAAACATGATCATAGAAGAGAAAAGAAATAAACTAATTCAAAGGTAAGTAATGGGGCACAGGAATGGAATTGTGAGAGATTCTGAGGTCTCACCTAGTTTTGCTTGTTCCTTTCAGTTTCAGAAGAATCGACGAGACCCAGAAGCCACCAAACACAAGCTCATGGAGATCGCCAATTATGTTGATAAGGTGAGACCAGGTGTGTACTTTGTGGGAAAGGTGCTAGCCCCTCAGAGGGGCTGCAGGACAGGAGATCACTACCCTGGCCATTTCTGAAAGAGAATGAATGATGATATGGAAGCCCAGAATGGTCTTGACAAAGCCCTGAACTGTATGACCTTAGGCAAGTAACTCATCTTCGAGTTGCAGTGTTTTTTTTTTGATAACCTATAACATTGAGGAGTTGGCCTAAACCAATGGCTTTCAATTTTTTTTTCCCTCACCCCTGCAGTGGCTCCTGAGGAAGCTAGAACACAGGGGAGCCCAGCTTAAAAAACAATGATTTTTAAAGTTCTCTAAGGTTCCTTCCAGGATTAAAATCCAGGGATTCTTAGGTTTAGGAGTGAATTGAGGTAGGTAAGGTCCACAGCCTTAAAAATGGTTTGTTTTGAGCCAGTCTGTACAATCTCTATCTGTGAAACTAAACTAACTAACTTCATTGCCGTCGAGTTGGATCTGAGTCATAGCCACCCCTCCTTGGGTTTCCAAGGCAGTATCACTATGGCAGTAGATTGCCCAAGCTTCCTTCCAAGGAGTGGCTGGTGAGTTTGAACTGCCAGCTTTCCGGTTAGCAGTCAAATAAATGCCTTAGGCACTAAGCCACTAGAGCTCCAACAGTTCTAAAATTATTTCTTCCCTCTTAGGAAGCTGTGTGGATAGTAAACGTTCCTAGGTCAGGCTCTTTTCCAACACACTTTTAGGAACTATCCAAATACTTCAGTTTTACTAGAATAGGCTGGTTTGAGACTTAGAAATAGTTGGTATTTGTTGTAGTGCAAAATGCAGAGTAATAGGTAACGTTGAATGAAAATACTCTCTTGGCACTGGCATTGTATAATGTAAAATAGTGGGTTTTTACCATTGTTGGGGTAGTAGGTCTCTCTGACAGTTTGATAAAATTATTGTATAATTTTAGAGCACTCATTGGACTTTGTAAGTTTGGGCCTGCTAGAGATTCATGAATCCCAGGTCTAAAGGGAAAGTAATTTTTTCTTCTTTTTTTTCTAAACACTAGAGGATAAAGAAATGTACCTAAACATTTTTTAGGGAATTAATAAGGACATTTGTTCTGAAGTCATCAGTTGGGAGGTTCTATGCCCCATAGTTTTGTTCTGCTGCAGGTGGCTCTGAAAAGACAGTGCAGTGTCAGGTAAAAGTCAAACACTGGCATTTCCTAGAAGAAAAGGCTCCAAGGACACAGTTTCTTGGGGACCTTCTTCTGGCTCCTCTATCTAGCCCTCAACTTACTAACAATAACATTTGAGTGATCCTGCAACCCAAACACACTCAGCATCTGGGACAACAAGAAAACTTGTTTCCCTGTGGACTGTACAGGAGATAGATCCAGCTGTAGCCAAATGACAGCTATTGTTCTGGAGACCTAACAGGAGGGGGGCTTGGCTTTGTGAACTCTCCAGCTGGTCTAGGAGAATCTAGGGTGCAGATGAAATATGAAGAAAGAGTAGAGGCATCAGCAAACCCCAGTCCTTACGTGAAGCCACAAGCCTGCCTGGGTTGCCCATTCTGGAGAGCTGTCTTAGCTTGCGCTCCAGCAGCTAGTTTCTCCCATCTGAGATTAGGGAAGGCACACCTACTTCTCTGAGAGTTGTGACCAGCAACTTGAATTGAACTATTGTTGAACCAAAACTGGAATGAACTATACTAATTTGATGAATATGAACTCAATCTAAAATGTTTTCCCTTAACTGTGAAAAAGCCAAGTTTACCTACTTAAAAAGTTTCCTAGGGAAGCAAGTTTAAGTTGGAATCCAAATGCTGTACTTTGTATAATAGTTGCCCTGAAATGAAACAGAAACATAAAAATTGCCTTTGAAATGAACTGATTCTACTCTAAGTCTGGAGCCCATCTTAGACCACAACTTCTCAGAATAAGTTGATTTTGGCTAAATGTGTAAATACTTCAGCACATGACCCACATAGGGTCATGAGTGGGCTTTGAGGTCAGATAAACTGGACCTTAATCCTGGCTCCACTAACTTTGTGCTGAGACTTGGGGCAAGTTACTGAGTGCCTCTAAGCCTCAGTGCTTAGTGCACTAGAAGTGCTTGACAAACATTGGTGCTGTGATTATTATTTTTAGCTTGGGCAATATGTGCCAACTTTGAGTATCTCCTGCTCATGTGATCTACGTTTACACAATAGGCATCTCAGGGTAGACCAGTCAAAGGATCCCATGTGCCTATGCCTTCCTGTGGCTGAGCTATAAAGAAAACCCTCTTCCTGTTTATATGAAATGAGAGACACCATGTCATAAAGGTTAGATATAGCTCTAATCTTAAGAAGCTAGATAGTTAGATCCTGTTTATAGAATTTTAAGGTCTCTGAATTAGAAAGAACCCTGATGCCTCTCTAGTTTTGTCAGTCTGATGCTTAAAATTTGCTTATGGTATTTTTGACAAAACCTGAATACCTCCAGTGACGGGTAAGGAAAATTTTGAGAGCAAGCATATCCATCCATTTGTATATTATTTCCTCAAAAGGAAGGTTGGGCAGTCTACTTCTGTAGTAATACTGCCTCGGAAACCCTAGGAGGGGTCACTATAAGTCGGATCCTACTTGACAGCAGTAGGTGGGTATATTATTTATACCTATTTACTTCCAAAATGTGTGGGAGATACCTTACAATGAAATGTCCATATATAATTTGATATACTGATACAGTGGGATACTATTCGGCAATAAAAAGGAATGAAATACTGATCTCAAAAACATGCTAAGTGAAAGAAGCCAGACAGAAATGACTACATATTTTATAATTCCATCTATAGGAATTGTCCAGAAAAGGCAAATCTGTATAGATAGAACATCAATTAGTGGTTGCCTTGAGCTAGGGAGTGGGAACGGGGAATGAATGTTAAAAGTTATGAAGTATCTTCCTGGTGGGATGCAAATATTCTAAAATTGGATATGGTGATGGTTTCATAACATTAAATTTACTAAAAATTATTAAATTGTACACTAAAAAAGGAGAGTTTCATGGTATATAAATTATTCCTCAAAAAATTGTTTAAAAATATCCATGTGCAAGAGAACCATTTGGACACATGTAAAAAAGATAAGACCAAGTAAAGCATCAGGAGAGAGAATTGTACCAGAAAGCCCAATTGTTGTTACAGAGCACAGCAAACTTGGCTCTGAGCGTTCTGATGACCAGCTTTGTTTGGAAGCTTTCTTCCTATTTTAAAATGAAATGTGTCTTCCCTGTTTTACTTATTGATTGAAGCCCTTCTTAGAGACCATGCAGAACAGCACTGATCCTTTTTTCCACAAGGTAGCTTTATATATTTGAAAACAACTTTTATGTCCCACCTAGCCTTTGCTGAACTGAATAACCCAGTTCTGCCATCAGGATGCTGTGAGAATGGTATACGTTGTTCCCAGGATCTCATTTCCCCTTTCCAAAAAATGTGACTAATAACACCTGTGCCTTCCTCCCTGTATTCATTTCCTAGGCTGCCTAAACAAATTGTCACAAATCAGGTGGCTTAAAACAACAGAAATTTATTCTTACAATTCTAGAGGCTGGAAGACTGAAATCAGGGATGGATCTAAGGGCAAGCCTGTTATATGCCTCTCCCCTAGCTTCTGGTGATGGCCGGCAGTACTTGTGTTTCCTTGACTTGGAGATCACTCCAGTTTCTGCTTTTGTCTTCACGTGGCCATCTTCCTTCTGCGTATCTCTCCTATTTTGTTTTATTCTTTTCTACGATAAATATTTTATTATGTTTTGGTGAAAGTTTATACAACAAATTAGATTCCCATTTAACAATTGCTCTACATACTGTTCAGTGACATTGGTTACATTTTCCACACTGTGGCAATATTCTCATTATTTCTGTTCTGGTTGTTCTGTTTTCATTAGTCTAGCTCCTCTGCTTCCCTTAACTTTCTCATCTTTGCTTTAGGGTAATGTTGACTGTTTGGTCTCATATAGATTTGTTGTTGTTGTTGTTGTTCTAAAGAGCGTAGTACTTATAGATGATACTGTTTATTTTATGAGCCAGTCTGTTATTTAGACAAAAGGTAATTTCTGGGTGTGGTTTCAGTTCAAAGTTTAAAGGGTGGTAATCTCAGGGTTCCTCTAGTCTACTGGTCCAGTAACTGTGACCTCTTTTTTTTTTTTTAAGAATTTAAGTTTTGTTTTACAATTTTCTCCCATTATATCCAGAACCACATATTGTGTCCCTGGTCAGAATGTTTGGTACTGGTAGCTGGGCTCTCTTCCTTTGTAAGGATACCACTCATAGTGGATCAGAACCCACCCTACTCCAGTATGATCTCACGTTAACCTAACTGATAACATCTTCAAAGATCCTATTTCCAAATGAGGTCACATTCATAAATAACAGGCATATAGTATATCTTTTGGGGAAGACACAATTCAACCCATCACATTCCCCTTAGAGTTATGTGGAGAAGGGAAATCTGGTACGTACTCTCCGAAGTTATGGACTAGGAAGAGGCTTATAAATCCTAGGTGGTGTGACAGATAATGTGGCTTTTCTGTGTGTGCTTTCAGTTCTACCGATCCTTGAACATCCGGATTGCCCTCGTGGGCTTGGAAGTGTGGACTCATGGGAATATGTGTGAAGTTTCAGAGAATCCGTATTCTACCCTCTGGTCATTTCTTAGCTGGAGGCGCAAGCTACTCGCCCAGAAGAAGCATGACAATGCACAATTAATCACGTAAATAGCCTCTTCCCCTTTCCCTGTGCCTTGTATTGGTGTCTGATGCAAAGCTAATCTACTAACTTCTGCTCACGTTGCAGGTGCTCAGTATTGGCCTTTTTCTTTCCCTCGTGGTGAGGATTGGTTGTTCAAGGGCATCCTGACACTATGGTTCAGATACTCCAGTATTTCTCAGATCTGCACTCTGTGTCCAGCATACCCTACAAAATAATAATAATAAAAGCCTGAAAGGCATAATAATCCCAAGAAGTGTTTACAATCTAGATGAGCAGATAAGATTTATACATATTTGTCAGAAGTTCTGAAACAATTGAATATATATTTGGGAAGTGAGACTTTCTGAGGGACTCATTTTGATCTTCATGGCTCTCTACTCTAGTCCATGAGCTAATCTCACAATGCAGGTACAGAAGAGAGGGTTCTTCGAGGAGTCCTTCCTCTTGTTTCCAGGAGCTCAGGGTTGAGTGTCTCAGAGAGTCTAAGTGACTGAGCATGCAGGAGCTCTGTGTTTGATGAGTGGGAGACATTAGGGCACTGATAAGGGTTATGGTGGAACATGATGGTCCCCTTGTTGTTGTTGTTGTTATGTGCCGTCAAGTCAGACCTGACTCACAGTGACCCCTCCTTGGGTTTCCGAGGCAGTATCACTACGGAAGTAGATTGCCCAACCTTCCTTCTGACGAGTGGCTGGTGGGTTTGAACCACCAGCCTTCTGGTTAGCAGTCAAGTGCCTTAGGCACTATGCTACCAGAGCTCCTGATGGTCCCCTAAGGGTGATTATTTGATATTTGTTAGTATAGACTTCCAAAAGCATTTTATGGCAGTTAGAACAAAAGGCACATTTATAATAAAACCGTTTTCCTTCTGTTCCCCAAATGTATCCCTGAGTGCTCAGAGTTTGCCTTTATTTACCCTCTAAAAGGAACTGAAGGAAGTAACTACCAGAAACCTAGACTGTGAGTGGTTACTTCACATGGTACGTTGACCTAGGAAGAGTCTTTGGGTACCAAAACATTTGGCCTGAGTTCACAGAAGTATGGCAGCCTGTGTTGGATAGGTTTCTAGTAGGATTTCCCGAGGGCCATAAAAATATGTTTATAAAATAATCAATAGGGCTTCATAGAGATTTGCATGTAGTTTTTGCATATGCTTTTTGCAGACTATTTTTCTGAAAGTAAGTCTTCCTTGAATTCAATAGACATCTATTCATCACCCACTGTGTATCAGATTGTATGCTAGGTCCTGGTGACCCCAAAGCAAATAAAATACAGTCTCACCTTTCAAAGATTTCATGGTCTAAATAAAAAGATAAACATGAAAATATAAAAGTACTACATAATGCGTTTCCACATAAATTCTTTAAATAAATTACATGTTTGTGTTATGCACAAAAACACTAGTATTTTATTTATTCCTTCTTCCCTACCCTGGATGCATACAGCTGAGAAAGGGATGTATTAAGCTGGGGGAAATGTTGCTGGCTATTGGCAGATTAGAATCACAATTGCAAAACAAAAGCAGAAATAGCTCATTCTTGCACCCAGCTGCACTTTGTGAGGTTCCTGATGGGACACATCTGTTTCCTTGGCCCCAGTGTGATGTGGGGATGAGGCATCAGCCCCACAGCTGCTGTCCCAGTCCCACCCACCCTCCCCACACACACACACCCTGCAGAGCCGGGGATACTGGCATGGGACCCTGGCAGCTGGCAGAAGTGGACATGATTCACTTCAGCATCAGCGTTTGTGCCCCCTCCACCAGCCCTTCCTTTTCCTGTCCAGCAGGAATGGGATGCAGGTTTGCAAGCCCTGAACTTTTCCTTCCAAAGAATTGGGCTCTGGGAACATTATAGGAAAAAGTGGTCTTTTTCTCTCCCTTTCTGCCTCTCTGGAGCAGTGTGGGAGGAGATGGGAGGAAGTAAGAGGTGTGGTGACCTGGATGTTGTCCAGTTGGCCTGGATACCAGTTGGCCTCTCCCCTTGGGAATGATCTGGGATGTCAGTAGAACTAAGGAGCACCATGATGGCCACTACTTGCTCCTAGGCACATGCGAATGGCCCTCTCAGCCTCCACCCAAATCCCCTGTCTTATTTCTCTCTTTCCCTCCTGCAGGGGCATGTCCTTCCATGGTACCACCATCGGCCTGGCCCCCCTCATGGCCATGTGCTCTGTGTACCAATCTGGAGGTGTCAACATGGTGAGTTTCAGCCAGTGTGTTGGTTTTGCAGAAGGTGATAAAATGCCCCCACAAGACAGAAGATCATCTTTTATAAAATAATTTAATATTTATTACTAAAGGAAAAAGCTTACACATGAAGCAGGGCAATTTCTTAAAATGAAACCATTAAGTTCTAAGAGATAGAGGTACCCAGGAGTGAATTTCCATTTATTGTAGCTTATTCTCTGTTTTCAAGCTCAGAAGAACTCTGAAGCAATTAAATTAATACACCACTTAACCTCATATATTCCAAATTCGAGAATAGAGAACACTGTTTTCATTCCACATCTTGTATTATTTTGCATGTCATTATGAAACAAGAGCCTGTCTCGAAGTCATGGTTAGGGAATTACTATCTTCTTTTCAGATTCTCTCTGACTTTGTGGGGATGCTTTGAATATTCATTTCTAACCTATGAAGTAGCTGTCAAAAAACCAAACCAAACTCACTGCCATTGAGTAGATTCTGACTTACAGGGACCCCCTTTGGGTTTCTGAGGCAGTAAATCTTTATGGAAATAGATTGCCCAGTCTTCCATCCATGGAGTGGCTGGTAGATTTGAACTGCCAGACTTCTGGTTAACAGTCAAATGCCTTAGTCAGTACACCATCAGAGTGCCTTTGAAGTAGCTATCAAGGAGGACTACTATCTACCTGTCCATCCCTCCTTCCATCTAGCACTTACAAACAAAAGTAGCACAGAGGTTAAAACCAAAGGCTCTCAAGTCAGACTCAGTTAGGTTCAAATAGCAAGTAAGACTTTGAGCAACTTAATGCATTTCCTACATTGTAAAATAGAAATAGGAATTTTACAATTCATAATCTTAGACTTAGAATGAGAATTATAATGCAAGAAACACACCTCAGTGTTTAGTAAATCTATTTTTGCTGCTTCTGTTCTATTTTTTTCCGTATCTTCAGCTTTTGCTTCTTTTGATTAAGTGCCAGGCACTTTGCCAGGTGCTGTGCCTGGTATGTATCTGTCTCACTGGCTTTCTCAGAATGCCCAGCACCAGAAACATTTTATGTTTGACTCATGTGTTATTTCCCATGTCGGTTCCCTTACGACAGAGGAAGAAAATCCTTCTCTTTCATTTATTCAGAAAGTGTTTATTGACTAGGGAATTTATCAATGGATCAGACGTGGTCTCCAACCTTGAGGAACTCAGGAAATATGGACTTTTAAGCACTCGACTTCCCTAATAATACTATCAGAGGATTTAGACTTCCTGTCGACAACATGTATGCAATGCCTATTTGCTCAGGGATACTGGAATCAGTGGAAAGCAGCATAGCTTGGTTAAGGAAAAGGTCAGGATGGGAGGCAGAGCTCTCCCATTGACTTGACCTCTCTCCCTGAGCAGGACCACTCCGAGAATGCCATTGGTGCAGCTGCCACCATGGCCCATGAGATGGGCCACAACTTTGGCATGAGCCATGATTCTGCAGATTGCTGCTCTGCCAGTGCGGCTGATGGTGGGTGCATCATGGCTGCTGCCACAGGGTGAGTCAAACAGAAGCTGCCAGGAAGGGGGGCGATGGGGAGGAGGGCAGGGCAAATGTGGTCAGTGTGACTCAAGGATTTCTTCCAGCTGGCCCCAGACAGCCTCTCTTATACCTCTGGTGGAAGCCTTGAAATAAAATGTGGTTTTTACAACAAAGAAATTGGAAGATGACCAAGAAGGCAGATGTGGGAAAGAAGCACTAGATTTCTAGCAGGAAATATGGTGCTGGTGGGACCCTAAGTGTTCTGCTTACCTAGTGCCACTTTGACAAGAATATACCACAAATGGGATGGCTTGAACAAACGGCAGTTTATTCTCTTACAGTTTGGAGGTTAGAGGTCCGAGTTCAAAGTGCCAGGCTCTAGAGACTGTGTGAAAGCCCCTTGACCTTGGGCTTCAGCTCTGCCTCTTGCTCCTGGTCCACTGAAGCTAGAGGCTTTTCTTCACTCAGACAGCTACTGGCTGCTGAGGCTAACAAGCCCAAGGTCAACAAATAAAAGGGCACTGTCCCAATATTACCAAACCACACTGCAGGCCATTAATTCAAGTCCATCGTAAGTCCCACAGTTGGCAGAGTATGGCCGGCTGCTGAACAACGAACGACTTCATACAGGGTCCAAGCGTGCCATAAGCTGGAGATTATCCCCAAGGCTTTTACTTATATACAAGAAGCAGACCACATTCCCTAAGGCAGCTACTCAGCTGCTTGTGGTAGATTTCACCATGGAGTTGATTGCCAGTCTCATCATGGGCAATACTACATTCAGCTGCCCAGCCATTCAGCCAGGCCCAACCAAGATGACACACGAACTGAACTACCACACTAAGATATACTTGATTTCTGTCTAAGGACCTTTGGTTGTAAAATTAGCCTGACTATGTGTATCTATTTTACTTTATGAATATTTGATGAGGACCTTTTAAAAAAAAAATTGATGAAAATAAACATAACAAAACATACACCCATTTGACAATTTCTGCATGTACAGGTCAGTGACATTGGCTACAGTCTTCCCATTGTTGCTATCTCTGCCTCCATTGTTTCATCACCGTTAACTTAGTCTCTCTGTCCCCTAAACTTCTCTTGAGTTTTAGGGTTGCTGTTGTCAGTTTGATCTCATATACTTGCATAGGTGGCAGGATTGAGAGCTGCTTTGATTGCTTGCTGCCCAGATTCCTAACTAATCCCAACCTTGAAAAGAGCCCAATGCTCAGGGAAAATATTCTTTACTAGTTGAGCTAAACTGTTGTTTAGTTTAAAGATGACTTCATGGGATACTCTTTGTCCAAAGCTGAAAGATTTTCTCCGGGCAAAAGATTGAGTGGTTACCTCCATCTCAATGGGTCCAGTAAGTCTGGTTTCTATAAGAACTTGAAATTCTGTTCCACATTTTTTTCTCTTCTTGATCAAGATCCATTTATTGAGCTAGATGAGGACCCATTTTGATAACAGCCACAGCCTTTGATTTCTCTATTCCAACAGCATGTGATCAGTGCTGTTAGATCCCAGGCTTGATTGAAAGCTTGATGTAGCCTCCAGAACAAAGAGAAGGAGGGGGAGATCCCACACATCCCACAGGCAGCATTTACCATGAGGAGCAAGAATAAGGCAGTTGCATCTCCCTTATGGTCATGAGGGATTTTTCAAATGAGAATCTTTGAAGAAAAATTCTGGTGTTTCTTCCAAGGAGTTACCTCCTAGTGTGTGGAGGTACATTTAGCACAGGGTGTTGGGTTCTTCAGGACCTGAGCCACTTTTGAGGAGGCGTCCCAGTGGTAGCTTGCATTCTCTTCACCTCAAACCATTAGAGCCTGCTTATGGTTTGTCTGGTTTTCTTTTTTAAAACTTTTTATTATAGTTTGAGGGAAAGTTAACAGTGCAAATTAGCTTTGCATTCAACAATTTATACAGATTTTGTTTTGAGATTTTGGTTACAGTCCCCTCAATATAACAGCTCTCTTCTTGCTTCTTCCCTGGGTTCTCTTCCTGCCCTTTCCTGCCTTCTTGAGTTTTTTGGGGGGGGGCAAGTACTGCCCTTTTAGTCTTGTATGGATGACTATACTGAGGAGTATTTCCTCCCTGGTGTTATAATTCACCTTAAAGGCCTATCTGTCGTTGGCTGAAAGTTGACTCCTGGGGGTGAGTTCAGTTCCAGGCTTAAAGAATATCTAAAGGACACAGTCTCAGGGGTTCCACCAGTCTCTATCAGACTAATGTCTGGTCTTTTTTATGATTTTGAATTCTGCTCTACATTTTTTTCCTTCCTTCTCTGTCCACGACCTTCTACTGTGATCCTGATCAGAGCAGTCAGCAGTGATAGCCTGCTTAGGATTTTTAGAGAATGGCATTTCGTTGTCACCAAGAGGAAATACAACTTTCTTAGAAATCTAGTATCCAGTGTTTTTCATCACTTCGTGCCTGTGACACACAAAGCATGATGTTTACATGCAGATACAACTCCCTGGATCATTCCCAAATCTCTATCAGCTCGTGGTTACTCTGAGCTCATAGTTACTTCCACCTCACCCCTTTCTCTCCCAATCAAAAAAAGCATATCTGAAGACTGATTGAGAATTATCTTAATCACCATTCCAGTTTGTTTTAAAATTGTTTGCAAATTTTAGTAGTTTGACAATTATTAGTAACAAATTACTTCTGATATACTTGACAACTGAGGGAAATCCTCCAGCATTTAACCTTTAATTTGTTTTAAAAATTGGGATCACTTTGTAGATCAAAATGGCAGTACTGCCCCACAATCAAGGGAAGATATGACTTTTTTTTTTTCCCCCCAATATTGGCACCCAGGACCTTTCACACTGTTTTGTGATAGAGTGTGCATTTGTGAGATGGCTGGCTGACTGAGTTTGGGGTGCCCTCTGCATCTTTAGAACAGAGGTCACGTCACTAGCCCATGAACAAATTAAGCCCATGACTTTGATCTTTTGTCTCAGTACTTTGTCCAAAAAAATTATCCACCTAGTATCAGCTTCAGGAAAGATCTGAGTTGTCTGGTATCTTACTCATTAGTTCTAAGGCTCTATTGAAACACATCTATTGAAACACACGTATAACCCTTTAATAATTGTAGTTATCACATGCACAGGGCAGAAATTGCTGCTTCTAATTCTCAAATACCTCTTCCATGCAGAGTGAGGAAGGAAAAAGAAAAAAGAATCCTGGGATGGTTAATATTTCATCATTAAGGATGAAAAAATCCTAAGCTAATGTATCAACAGATGTTCTAATGGGGTGGAATGTATGTGGATGGACTATGGGATTGTATTCCAGATGGAATCATGCTCCTAGGTAGCAAGATTGACAGCTGTTTTGTTTGCTTGCTGCCTAGACTCCTAACAAATTCCAATCTTGGTCCCTACCAGGCACCCTTTTCCCAGAGTGTTCAATGGATGCAACAGGAAAGAGTTGGACAGGTATCTGCAGTCAGGTGGTGGAATGTGTCTCTCCAACATGCCAGACACCAGGACACTCTATGGAGGCCAGAGGTGTGGGAATGGATACCTGGAAGATGGAGAAGAGTGTGACTGTGGGGAAGAAGAGGTAAGGTGTCATGGTAGTGGTAGTTGGAGGGAAGAATGTGCATTGGTTTCAAAGCTTGAGGTCCAAAGAGAAAACAACAATTTAGCTGATCCTCAAAAAGTTAAGTTTAGAATTACCATATGACCCATCAATTGCACTCACAGGTACCCAAGAGACCTGAAAGTAGCAACACAAACAGACACATACATACTACTCTTCACTGAAGCACTATTCAGCCAAAAGTTGGAAACAGCATAAGTGCCCATCAATGATAAATGAATAAACAAACTGTGGAATGTATACACAATGCAATACTACTCAGCCACAAAGAGAAATAAAGTCCTAATCCATGCTACAACATGGATGAACCTTGAAAACTTTATGCTCAATGAAATAAGTCAATCACAAAAGGAAAAGTATTATATGATCTCTTCTGTAAAATAATAAGAATAGGCAAATGGATAGAGACCAGAGTTCATTAGTGGTTACAGGGGTGAGAGATGGGGAGCCAGTGGCTGGGTAACAGTGAGTTTCTGTTTATGGTGATGGGAAATTTGTCAGTGATTATGGGTGATGTTTGCACAATATAATCGATGTACTTGATACCACTAAACTGGACACCCAGAAGATGTTGAATTGGCAAATGTGTCATATATATTTTTACAAAAATTAAAAAGAAAAAAAACAAGATAAAAACTTAAAACTGAGAAAATATTTACCAAAATAAAGAGCAAGAGATAGAAAGCAATTGGAAATTTTAATCACAGACATTTCTTACTCATGGCTATCAAAGACCTCCATCACTAATAGAATGTGGAGAGTAAGATTTAGGCATGGACCATTTCTGCTGCCTGTCCCACTTTAGGGTTGACACTATTTGTGTCCACAGTGACACTGGAGTTCTCTTTGTGAGTGTCTGCGTCTCACCAGGAACCACAGTCATGCAGTGTGTTGGCTGCCTCTTCCCAAGTGGAGCTACAGATGGCCTCTTTGGCCCTCCAGCTGCACTGAGTTTATTCTGGAGGCCACACAGCTGGATATATATGGCCTTAAACCTGGGCTTTATGAGGATGCTTAAAATAACAAGCTTGGGTCTGTTAGCCTGGAGAATAAATGGTTGAAAGGGAATGCAATGAAATGCTGTCAGATCTCAAAAGGGCTGCTATGAGAAAGAAGGAACAGAATTGCTTATGTATAAGCACTTTCCTTCTGTCTGATTTTCAGAATGATCACAGTGGGAGCTTTACAGTGCAGCACACTCATTTTGAACTGATGTGTGTTGGTTTAAAAAAGCAGAACTGAATAGTTTCATTGCTATATTTTGAAGGGTAGAAACATACATTTTAACATGTGCATAATAATTTGGGGAAGAATACAAGAATAACAGTTAACTATGGGGTGTGACTGAGAGTCTCTATATGTGGGAGACTTTAAATTTATAACTAGTTAATAACCAGTTTTATATTTCTCGTTTGATTTTTTTTTTAACCCCATCCTGTAACTTGCATAATAAAAAGAATTAAAGACACCACCACCCTACCACCACAAGTCCAGAGAAATCAGACCCAGACCCTTTGGAAAGGAAGGAGCTGTGTTAGCATGGAGTGGACTGTAGGGTTGAGGAGCAGCCTGAAAGTGGGCTCAGTGAGTTGGCTTTTATTTGGAACAGCTGTTTATTCAACAAGCCAAAGAAGGGGATAAAAAAAAAAAAGAAATTCTACGAAAAGGAGAGAAAAAAGATGTATGATTGCAAAAGCAAAAAACTTACAAGACCTGGAAAAACTAAGCAATCCCATCAAGTTCCAGTTCTTACAGGTTTCACTGTATTTACTGAATAATAAGTAAATTATTTATTACTAAAGGGAGCTCTGGTGGTGTAGTACCTAAGGCATTTGACTCCTAACCAGAAGACTAGCGGTTCAAACCCACCAGCCACTCCTCAGGAGGAAGGTTGGGCAATCTACTTCCGTAGTGATACTGCCTAGGAAACCCAAGGAGGGGATACTATTAGTTGGATCAGACTTGAGGGCAGTGAGTTTGATTTGATTTTGGTTTACTGCTAAATGTATAACATGTTGGGCTTTTTGTTTTGTTTTTTTTGGTAGAATTCCTGGGAGCTTGGGCCCTAGGGGTATTTGGAGTCGGGGTTAGGAAATGCAAGAGGTAGATGAAGACCTCATCCCTCACAGCCTGTCTCCCTGCCTGACTGCCCCAGAGTCCCTGCTCATATCCTGCTCTCCCTGTCTCCCACAGGAATGTAATAACCCCTGCTGTAATGCTTCCAATTGTACCCTGAGGGAAGGGGCAGAGTGTGCTCATGGCTCCTGCTGTCACCAGTGTAAGGTAAGGTCTTTCTTCTCCTGCCCTGGCTTCTGACCTGACAGCACACTGCTTTTCAGGGAGGAGGCAAGGGTGATAGCCGGTGTTCAGCCTCCATCCTGGGGGAGGATGGCACTCAAGTTTCAGAAACATGGAGCTGGAAAAGCCTTATGAACAAAACTCATTATTTCCTACACTGGGCCTTTGGAGTCCCTGAGTGGTACAAATGGGTTAACATGCTCAGCTGCTAGGTGAAAAATTGGAGGTTTCAGTCCATCAGAGTTCTCTTGGAAGAAAGGCCTGGCGATCTACTTGTGAAAAACAACCATGGAAAACCTTGTGGGACACAGTTATACTCTGACACACAGGGTTCCCAGAGTCAGAGTTGACTCGGCAGCAACCGGTTCACTTTTTGGTTTATAATGGACCTAAAAGAGTTTAAATCAACAAAAGGGCTGTGCCTCCTGAGAGATGGTAGATATGTATATTTTTTAAAGTGTAGAGAGAGTAGGCTTGATTTCACTTGGAGCTAATAATAATAACAATTTTGATTAACATTAATGGACCTCTGATTATGAAGTCAGGCTAAAGTGAGTCCCTACCCAGTGTTCAATTAAGCTAATAAATCAGTTCACACACCCTTCGTACTTGAGAGATGAGAAAAGTAATTTATTACTATGCGCATGGTAAGGCGACAGGGGCCAGGACCCAAATCTGACTCCACAAGTTGAGGTTAGGGTACAGTTTTTGTACAGTTCAAGAAAGGGGTCTATACATATTCATAAAAATTTCAGGAATTTGGGTGTGAATTAGCTGGAGATTGGCTGAGGTTTTGTTTGCTTCGGTTTAAAGGGATGGTCAATTTTTAATGCAGTGCACTTGTGCACCGGATGAGTTACACGGACTACCTGTCATCAGCTGATTGGGGCTTAGGCAGAGGGGGAGATGTTAGTTCCGAGCAATTTTGTTCTGTTTGTCTCACTGCACATATTTGTGGGGCAAAACTGATCTGAGCCAATTTTAACTGGTTTCAAGTTGGTACTGGTTGTTTCTGAAAAATGACTTTAAGGAAACACATTATCATATCTATTCACCTGTCTCCAACTAGGGTAAGGGATGATTATAGAAAGGGTGGGGAATTGAGCTTCCATTTAACTCAGCTTTTAAGGAAAAAGGTTATCATGCCTGCTCATGTGTCTCCAACCAGAGTGGAGGATAATTATAGAAAGGAGGGGAATTGAACCATAATTCAACTTGGCTTCAATTAAGTGCTAGGCACTGTGCTGAACATTTTATATACATTATCCAATCACTACAGAAGCTCCATGAAATACATATTGTTATCCTTATTTTAAGATGAGAAAACTGGTATTAAGAGGGGATAAGTAACTCATCCAGAATCACACAGCCAGGAAGAAACTAAACCCAGGTTTCCTGGTCTCTAGAGCCCACACCCTTAATATTGATCTAGGAGATAAATAGTACCTTACTACTAGAATACTGGGAGCCCTGGTGGCATAGTGCCTAAGGCATTTGACTGCTAACCAGAAGGCTGGCGGTTCAAACCCACCAGCCACCCCTTGGAAGGAAGACTGGACAATCTACTTCTGTAGTGACACCGCCTCGGAAGCCCAAGGAGGGGTCACTATGGGTCAGAATTGACTGCATGGCAGTGAGTTTGTTTTTTTGTTTTGTTTTGTTTTGTTTTGTTTTTGGTACTAGGACTACTATAAGGGAGCTCTGGTAGCATAGTGCCTAAGGCACTTGACTGCTAACCAGAAGGCTGGCGGTTCAAACCCACCATCCACTCCACAGGAAGTAAGACTGGACAATTTACTTCTATAAAGATTTACTGCCTTGGAAACCCAAAGGGGGTTGCTGTGAGTCAGGATATTTGTCTAAAAAAACATTGTTGCCAACACATGGATGAGGATAGAGTGGTGGATACATTGACTCAATGGCAGTAAGTTTGGTTGGCTTTTTTTTTTTTTT